GCTACGCTCTCGTGTTTAGACCGTATGTCTTTGAGAAGCCTCCACACCTATAGCGAGTGAAGAATGTGGGTCTCTAACTGCCCTTCAGAGACCTTATACATAGCGCAGGAGGAAAAAAACCCTAAATCGAAACCAGTGCGGGCAGTTGATAAAGCACCAAGAACGTGAAGGGAATCGAAATGGCCCCCGCGTGCAAAGCGAAAAAACGAACCAAACTATCGCACGAAATGCAGAATGTCTTGTCTCTCTTCAGTGATATATTCAGACCGTGCCTCACATGTAGAACCACCAGCTATAGCATCTAGCGCCGCGAATTCAGCGCGATCCGTATAACGCGCCTGCGCAGTCCTGGAGGCGCGCATAGGTCACAAAAATAAAGCAGGAGCGAATGGGAGCCAAGCAAGCCGTTTCGAAGACGACCGCCACGGAGGAGGAAATGCCGATTCGTCGTTAGCAGGTTGTGCAACCGATGAAGGCGAGCTAGCCGGGGTTTTTCCTTATTGTCACGTCGTCAACGTCTGCGACCGCATGCAGAAGCCTTCGTTGCACGGGTTTGCTTCGCGTTTCGAGAATCGTGTAAACCGAGAGGGCAAGAACAACCAAACAAGTCGTGCTGTCCCTCCCTCTACACTTTCTGAATATGATGTTGCCATAAGCATGCAGACAGCACCGCGTAATGCGCGTTTGACCATTTGGAAGCGTGCAAGAATCTGATCGTGACGCAGTAAGAAACAGCAAGTGGCGGGAAGGTGGAATGGCGGCACCCGATGACATAGGTGTACGAAGGTCGGATTGTGCGTAGTTTAACAAACCATATTCCACAGTGAAACATCCGAAAAATTTTCCGGAAATTTACATGCGACTCGTGGGTGATTAACGGAGGAGAGAGTATATATGGCGGGCGCGCGTGTGTGCGTGTGTGAAAGCAAAACATGTCCTGTCTGCCTTACTCGATGTTATAAGAGCTGTTGCATAAGGACTGGGAAGCATAAGAACCTTTGCAGGGTGGCAAAATCTCGTGAGCATATTACCCGAAGACAATGAAAGGCTGAAGGGTAATAAAACGTTTTTTCACGGTACCTAATGAAGCCTCAGCCAACATCGCTCTGTGACAGTGCAGACTGATCGGGGAACTCAAACGTTCTGTCATTATAGCTTGTGTAAGTTTCTTGTCGTGAGTTTTGCTATGATGTTGTGCCTCGCAAGAAAAAAAGAAACACCGCAAATCGCGAGCGTTGACCGTCGGCGCAGTCGTCAGTTATCTTAAGGTGTTCCCGGCATTCAACCAGTCGAATATGCTTCGTATTATCGCTAGTTTCCTGGACCCTCACCGTGAACTGATGCGATTTCCACATGTACTACATGGCCCTTTCCATACATTATTCATTATTGCAGATACTGAGAACTTTTGACCTGTTTGAGCCGCTTCTGAGAGATAGCCAAAGGGCAGTGCAATTACGAAGCCAGCACGCTACTTTAAATTATTTAATTTTACTCTTGATCGTCAATGAATATTTTTCTAATTTTGTACATGAAGGGCAGGTTTTATATTATTCTATCCCTTCCATTTGGCAGGCATGTTCAAACAATGCTGATAATATTTCTGCTGAATATGATCAGTACAGGGGTCAGCAAAGGTATGAAGCGAGAGATCTTCTAATGCTCCAGCCTTAAACAAAATATGAGACAAGAACACATTTTTACATTTGAATGAGTTATAGAACCTTCAAGACAAATATTTTTGGCAATGATAGTATTAGTATTATTATTAATATAGTTATTAATATAGTGTTAATAAATAACCTTCAATCACTGTAAAAACGTGACTCTATGAGTTTTGGTTCTACCCATTATCTATAGAACGCCGCAACACATTCAGTGCGGTGCCAGTAATTGGCGGACTGCGCACCCATTTCTGTGTCACTCCGGCTTTCAACTACCATTAGTTAGTTATTGCAATGAAATCTACCACAAAACCTACTTTCACCACATGGTGAATGGATTTCTTCTATCGAACGCGCAGCAACGACTCCAACATTCTTGTTCTGTTTGCGTCTGTTATCATCTGCAATGTTTTTTGCTATCAAGTTTCATGGCGGTAAGGGCGATATTCCCAATATTTGACTAACTATACAACTCTCGAGTCAGCAGAAAAGTACTAAGAAGAATCGAGGCTCGTTACTTGAAACTGCATTTTCTAGAACGTCGTGCAACATTGCAAAATGCATAAATACAGCTTTATAAACGTCAAAACGCCATCACACTACAGTGTGGGGGATAAGAAGATAAAAATGATGATAAGAAGATAAAAATGAGCCCCGTAACTGTCTCTCAGGGGGAGGACACCTCAACAGTAGTAGCTCACGAGGGGTGGTGGTTAGGACGGATTGAAAGGATAGGATTAAATGGTATAGAGATAGAGAGAGAAAAGAAGAGAGCGAGGCGCAGAGACAGCGACACACGGAAGCAAGGAGAAGATAGAAAAGATGGACACGGTCACAAGAGTTTGAGGACGGGGCACCACTCGGCGAGATCTCTTGTCGGCGTCAGGAGAGGGCGTGGGACGAGCCCAGTCGGCCAGAGCTGCGCTGTCGCCGGAGATCGCGGGGGCACAACTGGTCGGCGCGAAATCCAGGGAGTGAGTCGGACACTACAGTGGCATAACCGGTCACTAATACAAGAACCAATGCATTCCACAATGACGCGAAAAGGTATTGGCACGATGCAGTCGGCAAATATTTGGTACGACTTCCATTATTTATATGTGGCACATGATGTCAAACGAAAGCAATGATATAACGCTTCAACTGCATAGCTTAACCAAACCAGGCTGGGAGGACTGGTGTATCACTTGAATGCACATAAAATAGTTTTGTTCTACTGCCAGCCTGCCACCACACATTGCTCAATACATTGTCGGCGTTGAGGGTTTGGGTTCGAGCTACAGGTGCTCTCGACAGCAGGTGAAAGCGATGTGTCAATACAAAGCTCGAAACTCCCTGTATTTTGACACGAACTTGTTTTATGCCGTGGTCTACCAAGACCTCAGTGACCTGTTTTGGTTACGTAAATGACGTCGGGAAAATACGCACGATAAAAAAAATAGTTCTGTCAATTGGAGTCGAACTCATGACCTTTGTTCACGACATCACATGCCGGATGCGTTATTTATTGTACCAGAGCCACATTTTTTTTTACTCTACGCCATGGCCACATGCTCTACAGACTTTTAAAAAATTCATGCTCTACAAACTTTTAAAAGATACGAATTTTAAATCAACCACTGCCCTTTCGCAGAATTCTTCATAAAGTGCAGTAATCCATCATGGATGTGGCATCCGAGATGAATCCCTTCAACACGTCGTTTCTGAGCGTCTATCCCATTAAGCGTGTTTCCAATATGCGAAGTGCAATTTCATCAACGCCTTTACACACCACCAGGTTGCGACCTTACCCCAAGCGTCGGCGTCGCTTATAGCATTCATTCATGCCAAAACTCACTCTGGGACGCCCATCCGCTTCTCCCGGCTTTAACTCCGCGTTCCCCACGTACGCTCGCCCGTCGAATAATCGATCGCGGCCGGCGAAGGGAACACATGACGCGCGTTGAGTTTCCCTCGGGTCAGGCAGTGGTAGGGGCTTTAGGCAGTGGAGTTTAATAACTCTAACATGCGGCGATTAGGCGACCTTAGCTCTAGTTCTACGTCCAGTCGATCACGCTCTTCTGGCTGTCACATCGCTTCATTTGGCTCTGCACTCACCATTAAGTATTACACCTGCCGCAAGCATCAATGACCACCACCGTTTGTCATTCTCATGCGCTCGTGCCGCTCCTCTATTCCGACCGTGTATCGATGTACAATAAGCACTAAATTACTTCTGTAAGCACACGTTTCACTTTCGTGTTTTACCGATTCCCATCATGGAGGGATCAACCATGTTTTTTGTGCGACGGTTACCCGCATTGGTGATTTCAATGATACCTCCCGCGTTCTCCATTCCAAGTTAATCGCGTTGGATTACCGGAAAGTTTTGATGCACCGTTGTTAAGAATGGGCGTCGCAATCGCAGAGGCGTTGCGCAACAACTTCCTCAGTAGCAAAGTGACCTTCATTTTTCGAAGATCGCTTTAGCAAGTTATAACGTGCTCAGCGCGCTGTATCATGCATTTTGGCATGCTCTCTGCGTGGTTCGATGATCATTTTACTGTCTACAGATGCCTTTATCTTAAATTTATTCCGGTGCATTTCTGTTTTTATTTTGCAGAACAAAGACAAATGGAGAATGCGCCCGCTGAGATATTTCATAATGATCCCTCGAAAATGTTCCCTCCCAAGTGAGCAATATAATCACGTCCACGTTAGAGCCACCGCAGTGTTATATGAAACAAAGGAAGTGTGCCGATATTGTCACCCCATGCCTGTTTTTCATTTAGGATTTCAGCTTTCCTGTTGCTACCACGAAGCCCGTTTCACCATAAACAATATTCGGACAACTTGAATAGAAGTCCTCCTGCCGAAATGTAGACTCCCTTGACGTTCGTTGTTAGAAAACCTCGCTTCCCGCATGTCGTTACAGTTAGCTTCGTAACACATCAATATTTGTTTGAAACCTCGTGACTAAACATCACGAGAAGGGGAAATGAAATGCTGTGTTTCTAGAGCGTACAATGCAAACATCAAGATTCAGTATCACTCTACTCCTTTACCGCTTACAAACATGATCCGCGAAAGGCAATGGTCTGAAAGCAGCAGTTGCGTTGGCAAGCAGCAATAACTCGATTCCTGAGATGAAGCTTGCTCTTCCTTCACTTCACATATCTCTTACTTAGGTGAGCAAACATACAATAAACCACCATTGACCTGTATTGTATTGTGTCTGAATAGCACGGGTCTCGTCGGCGTGTACACTCAAAATTATGAATGGCGTCGTTCGGTATCCTCGGACAAAGCCTATTTGCAACTGACGTTAGATGAACGCTGTCCAAACGGTGCACTCACGCGAATTGTGTGTGTATCCGTTCAGCTGTGGCGAGCAGGCAGCGTCAGGCGGCGAATCATCGAATCGTTGAACGGCGAAAAAGCACTGTCACCGAGGGGCACTGCTGTATAGCGAATCGCGCACGACCTTCTACGGGCTGCAGTGGCGCCGGGGCTCACTCATCGCACATTGAGGAAAGAGAAACAAGAAAAATGTACGCGCGGAGTCGCGACGTCTTCGGCCATGGCTTGACGTCATAACCGGTTGGGGCTGGCCGCGCTAGCAGGATGCCCAGGAGGCAACCTTGAGAAAGAGGTGATCTTTTGTTATGGAGTCCACGTGCGTCCGAACAACTCCGTTCCTACCGGTTCGCCTAGAGCATGTATGTGTGCGCGCATGACGCTTCGCTCATAAGCGATGTCGTTTCGAGGCGACGACGTGGTCTGACGATTATGCTAGGACTCCGAAGTGTACCGCTGTGACAGTCGCACGCTCTGGCAAGAAATCGCTTCGCGAAACTGGAAGGGAACGAGTGTTTGTGTAAGCTTCCGTTGTGTTTGTCGACGTACTTGGAAAGTCTCAGAATCCTGCATTATTGATACGACGGGTGCAGTCTAGGGAGTGTGCAGGGTTCCCCTCAAGAGGGGGGGTGGTAGGGGGGGGGGCGAAGATTCATTGCAGTGTCCCTCTCTCTTCATCAAGTCAATGTAACCTCCCTCAAGCGCACGACTATGAATGCAGTTATAGCTTAGAAGCGCTAAGGCTGATGACATAAGGTCCACGTGTGCACACCGCCATCGCAAGCTAGCGTGTCCGGTGTAATAAAGAGCTGGTAAAAGAAAACAGGCACGATTCACGGTTAGCCACAGTTATGCTGTTCGCTTTCCTTCCGTTCTGTTCTTCGTATGATTATTTTGCTAGTTTTGCGAAGTTGACATGAGGCACAAGTTTCTCTTTATCGTGTTTTTTTGTGAATACATTGTGCAGTCGTTTATAATTTTGCCATAAGTACGAGTTTCTGTGCCAGCCGCTTTCTTTTTTTTTCCCATATATAGGAGTTCTTAGACGCGTTTCTGTGTTTCTCCTTAGATTTTGTACTCTCTGATGAATATTCGCCCCCCCCCCCCCTGAATAGTAATAATTGCCGAGATTTCACATCCTGAAACCACGATATCAGTATGAGACAATATGCAGCAGAGGGCTCCGTATCGTTCCGACGAACTGGAGTTCTTTAGCATGCACTGACATCGCACAGTACTCGAGCCTCCAGATTTTGGTTTCCATCGACATGCAACAGTCGCGACCGGCATCGAACCCATGTCTTTCGAGTGTCAGCACATCAGCATGTCCGAGTCAACACGACCGGGATCAAACTTCCGACCGGGACTGGGACTTTCCGCCTGGACCGGGTCTTTCGGTTGTAGTACCCGTCCTGCTTACGTGTCTTTCTCTTGTGTTTCTTCTATACTGCGCTTGCTAAGATGCACAAGTTCGACAGCCCAGCACCATAATCTCGTGTCAGACTATAGAGAGCTCGCGTTTTGCTAACGTAGCGTTCGCTGTGCCAAGCGTGCGCGCGCGTAAACGCTATATTAGAGTGCATTGGGCCATTCATGATGTGCTCGTGGCCGTTTTGCTAGCTCCACATATACCAAATTTGGTGCTATACGTACGTGACGTCAATGGATGACGAGAGTATATGACTGGTGCAAACAGGATAATCCTGACACGCGTGTCATGTAAGAACATGGCAACATACCACGATCATAGCAAGCTTGCGATCGTTTCACTAGCTCCACAGATACTATGAAGTCTTGGTTTGTATGACCTTTATTAGGCCCGAGGAACCGGCAGCCGACAGCTACGATGAATGAACCAAGATGATGATGCTACGCGACAACGATGAGGATGCATGAGCCACACATGATAATGATGATAATTTACCGGTGAAGAGGATGCGTATACTAAATGCCTACACCTATTCCCCCCCCCCCCCCCCCCCCGTGAAAGCGGCCAGCCTGGCCGCGGCAAGTCAAGGGCACAAAGAACGTCGCATGAAAGGCTCCATACGGGAGACATGGACGACCTCTGTAGTTTGATAACGACAATCTGCTGGGGCTACAAGTGGCGTCACGCGATAATTCACTGGTGAAGTCTCTTCAAGAACTGTGTACGGCCCGATAAACCGTGGCTGAAATTTGTAACACAAACCAGGTGTGTGAATAGGCGTCAAAAGGAGCACATCGCCTCCAGGTTGGAAGGATACAACACGACGCGATTCATCATAAACTAACTTTCTGTCTTGCTGTCGGGCTTCAGTGTTTATACGAGCACGTTGGCGGCACTGTGCTAGTCGTAAAACGTATTCCTCTGAAGAGGATGGAGATGAATCCGCTTGGTAGATAAAGAAAGAGACGTCCAGGAAAGAAGTAGGGGAGCGTCCATAAACTGCGTAAAATGTTGAGTAGCCGGTTGTCCGCTAAATGGCCGTACTGTATGAGAAAGTGACGAATGGTAGATCTACGTCCCAGTTCTTGTGGTCTGGTTGAATATAGGCGGCGATCATGTCAGCAAGAGTGCGGTGGAATCGCTAAGTGAGGCCGTAGTCTGGGGATGATAACTAGAGGCAGTATTGTGAGAGTTGCCAGAGGCGTGAAGAAGTTCATTCACTAGTTGTGAAAGGAAGGCCCTTCCACTGTTACTGAGCAATACACGTGTAGAACCATGACGCACCTCCCCGCATGCTCGCACGTTCATGCCACGCTCATGATGCGCTGGCGGGCGTTTCGCTAGCTTCACTTATACCAAATTGACCATTTGCGGGAAAACCACTGCGCATGAGCAGTAACCGCACAGGTAGCGTTTCTGTACAGGCGTTTTGGTTTTGGTTGGAAAACATCAGCCTGGCGTTCCATCAATATTACCCGTAGTAACGGCGAACACTGCCGTTTTCACGCAAACACCGTACCTCACAGACGGTGCACAAGCCGTCCTCACTGAACCTATAGTTAATCGACAGACATTTCAAGGTTCAACTTCAAGTGTATAACATAATGTTCTTCTTAAAAGAGCAGGCGTAATGAGCCTGGCGAACCGTCGAGGTAGCGGAGTGCAGGTATCACCTCACTTGGTTATTTCTCAGGCTGAAACGCGAGAAATTCTTGTTTTACACCGTGTATACAAACGTAAACAGAATGTTTTTCTCCTTTACCTTCTTGTTTCAGTAACGGGCATGCGTTTTTGGTCCTAAAGCAACAAAACAAGCGTTTTGTTTTCCAACCAAAAGCGAAGCTTTCCTGTTTACACGACAGGGGGCGCTCACTTTTCGGCAAATGGTCAATTTGGTATTACGGTACGTGAATGGATGAAAAAGTTATGATACTCGTGTAAACATAATAAACATGAGATGCGCGTCATGTAACAACATGACTACATGCCACGTTTATGAAGCGCTCGCAGCTGTTTCGCCCCGCCATGGTGGTCTAGTGGCTAAGGTACTCGGCTGCTGACCCGCAGGTCGCGGGATCAAATCCCGGCTGTGGCGGCTGCATTTCCGATGGAGGCGGAAATGTTGTAGGCCCGTGTACTCAGATTTGTGTGCACGTTAAAGAACCCCAGGGGGTCAAAATTTCCGGAGCCCTCCACTACGGCGTTTCTCATAATCAAATGCTTGTTTTGGGACGTTAAACCCCACAAATCAATCAATCAATCGCAGCTGTTTCACTAGCTTCACATGTACCAAACTTGGTATTACGTGACGCGAACGGACGACATAGGTAATTGACACATCCAAACATGATAGTTAGGAGGTGCGTGTCATGTAACAACATGACTACATGCCATACTGAGATGCGCTCACGGCCGTTTCGCTAGCTTCACATACTCCAAATTTGGTATTACGTGACGCCAATGGATGACGAAGGTATGTGACTGGTGCAAACATGATATTCATGAGATGCGTGCCATGTGAGAACATGATTACATGCCAGAGTCAAGGCGCCAATACGTTTCGACGTGTCGCGGTGCGCGTGCTCGCCGGCGTTCATTTCGTCGCGTCATGCCGGCATTGCCACGCCAGGAGTCGGTCCTGCCAATACTCGCAGGCGCGCGCCACGCTGCGTTGCTTTGACGCAAGCGCGGTTCAGCACGTCCAGCGTCCCTTCATCACGAAAAGAGGGAGACGCAGCGTTGTCTGGGTAACGCATCCACGCGAAATGCAGCATGTCGCATTTGCACCGGTTGCCGTCGCGCAAAGCCGACAGACGCTGATTACGCCTGGCGTCAGACTATAGAGTGCTCGCGTTTTTCTAACGTAGCGTCGCTGTGCCCACCGGGCGCGCGCGTCAATGCTACATTGGAGTATATTGGCACCCTTCATGATGCGCTTGAAGCCGTTTTGCTAGTTCCACATATATCAAATTCAGTGTTACGTGACATCAATGAATGACAAAATATATGACTGGTGCAAACATGATAATCCTGACACGCGTGTTCTGTGAGAACATCACAACATATCACGCTAACAGCGTACTCGCAGTCGTTTCGCTAGCGCAACATATACTAAATTTGGCATCACGTGACGTGAAAGGGATGACTAAGGTAAACGACACATCCAAAGATTATAATCATGACGGAAGTCAAGTACGGCATCATTTACCTCCACCTCGTAACGTCGTGCTTATCTTGAAGTGACATATCAACCATTATGACATGGTTGATATGTCAAATCTGCCATATCGGCCATAAATGACATATCTGCAATTTTTTTTTGCATATCACCAGTTTCCCCTTCACTGCTTTGACGCTTCCTCCGTTCTTCAGAGCGTGTTCAATTTTCTCCATGTTAAACATTCTTACATCGGATACCTTACACTTAATAATCAACTTCGAAAGCTCTGCCAACTCTATTTTGTCTGCAGTGTACTTGAGGGCTTCATGCTTTGACGCTTCTTAATGAGGTCCTGCGTTTCCTGAGACAGCTTGCTCGTGTCGTGTCTAACTACCGTACCTACAACTTCCTCTGCACACTCCGTAATGATACTCGTCAAATTCAATCATCATTCATTGCTTCAACGCTAAGGCTGGTTTCCTCGATAAAAGCCGAGTACCTGTTCTCCAACATAGCTTTCAACACTGGTGACCGCCGCCGGTAACGCACTCCCTCCCTAGAGGGTGTTTCAACGT